GGGGGGTGGGAGGGGATATGGAATTTAAGGGGGGGCACCACAAAAGTATTTACAACTAAATAGAAAATGTATGGAAAAAAATTATCCTTTTCCAATAGGGGGCTACATTTTTTACTTACTTGTTCACAACATCCCACCAGCCTACCCATATTCATAACAAATGAATAGTCCCTAATAAAATGCTTAGTTCTTGAATCAGAGTATGCATGTAAGCTATATAATAAAATAAATCATACCTCTTCCTTTGTACACAAGTTTTCCTGCTGGTCCTCTGATGTCAACAGTATCACCCAACTTTAATGATTCAAGATACTGAGACATCTTACCACCTTCTGGAAACTTAGGATGGACATCCTTATAATATATCTAAACAGGATAAGAAAATGAAAGGTCATTTGATCGTTTTCAAGTTAGTCAAATACTGCTCAGGGCTTAAAATGATGAACAGTCATTGCAAATCTCCCACCAAAACTAGAACTATGCCTGGTCAAATATTTGACTTTGCTGGTAATTTTGACCAGTAACGTTTAGCCAGGAGGGGTAATGACTAAGCTTGTTAGATAAATTTACATAAGTTTTTTATGTGTCTGTCCTCTTATTGACAATAAAGTGCGTCATCACATTGTCTAAGAAGTGTGGATCCCAATACTACTTTGACAAATGTGATGACAAATTTATCGTCAATAAGAGGACAGACACATAAAAAACTAATGTCTATTTGTTTTTTACAGTATCAAAATCATTAAAAACAACTCATTTTTAGGAATCAAAACAACAAACGGAAAGAGCGCTCACTCATTGATGTCAGCCTTATCTGACTGTCCTCTTATTGATGATAAAAAATAACCAATCAGCACACAAGAAATTTGTAAGTTATTGAAAAATATAAATTTTACTGGTGATTGACTTGCCATCATTTCAAGCCCTGCCACTGTGTCCTTTGGTTACACCCCTGCAGTTATAAGTCCAACCACAAGTTCCTTACAAAATTGTATAAGCCAAGGACTTGTAACTGGGGTTTGATTCACCTACATTACCTTAAAGTATTTAAAAATATTTGAAATATACCATGCGCCCTGATTGGCTGGCTACCGTGTTTATATCAGAGGACAAAGACCTGCTCATGCAAAATCTTCCAAAAGTATTTTAAAAAGGCAATATAAACTGTCAGCTTATGTCTCTGTACTGTGATATAAACACTCTGGAAGCTGTGGAGCATTCAAGAAGGTACACCTTGTGTTTCTAAGCTTGCTTCTCTCTTGCCCTACAGCTTCCAGTGTGTTTATATCACAGTACAGAGACATGTGCATGTATTTTATATTTCTTAAAAATTCTCTGTATTCTCTACTTATAGATAGAGCTCTTAGTAAGCAAAAATATTTTTAAGGAACAGAGTAAATTAATATTCAATTTTGGTATTTTGGTGGTAGACTCGGCCCCTGACGCCCTCCCCCCCCCNCCCCCCTCCCCCCGACATCCTAAAACTCCTAGGGTCCCTAAAAAGTTGTCCTCATGTATCGGTAAGTTTTTAAATGTAAATATTACCTTAATGACTAGTTCAAAGTATCCTTTGTTGTCATCAGACGTCACAGGTGTATATGGTCTGATAACAAGGTTACCATCAATCTTTGCAGAAATATACACATGATTACCTAAAATCATTCAATAAAAGCTTGTTATTCAAGAGTCTTGTCATTTTAGCACTTTCACACTACATGTACTATAATCAGGAACTCTCTTTCACTCACACACACTAGTCCCTTCATTCAATGTCCTATGAACAGGACACTCGACTCTTATTTTGAGTTTACGGTGGGAGGAGAACTGGAGAGCCCAGAGAAAAATCCCCGTAGCATAGGAGAGAGCAGCACATCAAACAAACTCATTAACTTGCATACTAGATTGGGCGAGGGGAACACAGGTCTCCTGCTACAAACCTAGCAATGGTGAGAGGATGGCATGAGTCACAACATACAGTAGACCACTTACTTTATAAATCTTTATAAAGCTTTGAGATAATAATAACTAAGATAATAACTTTGAGATAATACATTGGTCTAAATGATAATTACAATGATTTTTATTATACATTTTACTAAGTATCTCAATTCTGATTGGTCGAGAGCCCTCAGCCAATCCCTGATATCATGTGAACTCGACATGATAAATGTATTATCTGTATAGGTTTTCCTACAGATAATACATTTATCATGTCAAGTTCATTCAAGGTCACGCTGTGGTAGCTTTGTTTTTATTCATTATGTGTATTTATTTCCAGAATTATGCACAAAAACAATTATTTAAGCTATCCTTAACTTATTTTCATATATTTTATGAAGAATTCTTGAAATATTTCTGAATTAAGAATTTTGCATTTTTCACGCGGCATCATGGCATTCATAATTCTTGTCTCTATAATTTAAAGTTCATGTTAGGAATTTTTTCCAGTATACAGAATGTATAATAAAGCAATTATTGAATTTGGTATCGCATAATGTCGTAAATTATCAAGACCTCGGCCTTGATAATTTACGATATCATGCTCAACATCATCCAATAATTGCTTAATATTACCCTTTCTATATGATTGTATATAATCAAAGGCACTTTACATTGAGTTTTGAATTACTGTAAATCACTGTTCAGTTCAAGTTTCATTCATCAAAAACACTTTTAAACACTTACTGGAACATTGTCATTTTAGTAAACAACACTTAGCCAGTGTAACTCACCTACAGGAAGACCAAGAATGTGATCAGGTGATTGAAGAGCAAATTTGAACCTCCTTGTGTCATGGCTAACAATCTATTAATAATAATATTATAAACAATAAATCCTGTGTATCCTCCATACACACTCTTTACTAAATACAAACTCTCAACCCATCCTCACATTTTTTTTACAATGGGAAGAAAACCATACAACCCTAAGAACAACCCAAGTTGTAGCATAGGAGAGAACAACACACTAAACAAATTCAACTCACATACTACCTTGGACAGGACTCGGACCTGGACTGAGCCGGCCAGCCCCTTACCACAAGCCTTGAATTGATGAGTTTAAGACACAAATAGCTGAATAGACCACCAATGCTACCCATGCTATATGTTATATATATGTAATCTGATTATCAAACACCCTTGAAAATGGGAAGGTTATTACGCTTAAAATAGACCCCTTGCAGCAGACATCAAAGCAGCTCAATTTGGAGGACAAAACAAAAGAATTTCAATGTCCTGAGAATTGGAAACCTATTGTTTTGCTCTCCAAATTGCTGCATTCTGAAGTGCTGCAAGGGGACCATATAGGAGTGTATAACAGTAGGCTTAAGAGTGCGCCAAAATGCATGCAGTGCCAGTCAGGAGTAGGACAATAATAGGTCATGCCCCACTGCTCTCCCCAAAATGCTCCCTTTAGATTTTTTAATAAGTTTACCTCTTTAGCTATGAGTTCGAAAGGAATCTTTTTCTGAGAATCAAGTGCAATAAGCTTCTTTTTCTTTCCCAAGGTAAAGTAAGCAGCCAGTCCAACAACAGCAATGACCAAAGTCAAACCAGCAGCTAACACCACTGGCTTCTACAATAAAACAATAAACAATTAACCTAGGCTCTTCACATGCAGAGTAAACAGACACGAGTGAAAAACATCTGCGCATGCTCTGAATCCGTATGCACATTTGTCAAAACATATGTAAATTTGACTTTCAAACATGCCTGATAAATTGGACTTCACAAAATGGCAAAACTTAGTGTCCATGCTTGAAACTTAAGGCTAATTCTTTCATATTGTGTTAGTTAATACAGTATCTTGGTCTGACAAAAGTATACTAGTATACTTTTTGTATACTTGGAGAAAACAAACATTTATTTTCTCACTTAAACTCTTCAAAATTATTAGAAAACGTGCTGAAATGCACGCATGCGCAAAAGTTTTCCTCTAGCGTTGAGTAAACATAATGTAGACCCCTTGCAGTACTTTGGAATGCAGCTCAATTTGGAGGACAAAGCAATAGGTTTCCAATTCTCAGGAGGTTGAAATATTCTTTCGTTTTGTCCTCCAAATTGAGCTGCTTTGAAATCACACACAAGGGAGCTATACCATCCATATGATCCCAGTTATGAGGCTCCCCCTCCCCCCTCCGGGTTGTAATTCTCCAGATTATAAGCTCACTGTCTGCTAACCAAACATTTCTCCCACAAGGGTCTCCACTTCTAAGCCCCCTCCAATGATGGAGAACCGCCCCTAAAACACATTTACAATCAATCAATCAATCAATCCTTTATTTGTTAAAGCGCAGGTTAGGTTTACAAAATTCTAAAACAAATATTGCATCGACAGCCAACGGCTGATGTGGACCTGATCAAATCATAGTTTTCCTGAACACATTCTGATTTCAAAGCTTTTACAGCTATTGTTGCATGAAATAACCCAACCAAAATTCATTAATGCGAATTTTTAAGCTAAAAAGCTATGTGAGAAAATCTCGTTTTCATATTTTTAGCAAGACACCAAACATGATTTTTGCAAAATTATTCCATTTCTCTAGCATGTAGAATTTATTATTACGAAATCCAAGAATCACAACTTAAAGATTTAGGTTGTGGATGAAGATTAAACGATAATTGAACATAAAATCGTGTGAATAAAGTAGTAGACTCACCATAGACAACTCCATGTTTGCAAGCTTCATGTTCCAGAACACAGGGAACGCAAGGGATTATGGATCAAATAACACAGGACCCCCATTTGACAATTCGTTTGGTTTGGGGACCGTTCCTTTTTTTCGCCAATACGAAATCTTAATAACGTATTAAATAAATCTATTATTATAGTATTAGATAATAGATTAAATTGATATAATCAGTGTGATATTATTAACCGAAAGTTAGGGACTGGTCATAAAGTATAGGGGGGGTGGGGAGGGGGGCAAAATCAGGGTTTGGGTCACATAATTTTGAACTCCTTCAAAGGGATGGGCTGTTGATAAAATTTGACAACTAAAAAGGGTGGGCCATTACAAAATAGAGTAGTATTATAATTGTCATCATCAGAATTTCTCAAGGAAATTTGCAGTTGCAGAGGATCTGGTTAGGAAGTATGTAGAACATTTGTAGTACCTTCGAATGAAAAAAATGAAAAGGGCAAATGAAAAGGAAAAAAAATAAGGAAGCATGCAGGGAAACTTAAAGCATACGAAAACTATGACTGGAAAGACATACAAGAAAGCGGCATGCTTAAGAAGCAGAGGGTTGCAGTCTTGGACCTCTTTTTAAAAAAAGCACAACTTGCCCAAGCTCAAAATGTACAAAAGTGAGAAAGTCCAAGTAATACGTGCTTGGCTGTCTATGCAGCTTTTAAATACTACGACAAGTACAACAGAGGAAGAGCTAAAAGAAGATGGTACCTCACGCGAGGACACTGAAGATGATGATAATTCATGTGAGGACACTAATGAATGAGGATATTGAAGATTTGAATAGCGACGAAGAAACTGACATTGTTACTCATGAAATAGGAATTAATGATATGATAGTGATATGATAGTTATTGATATGATAGTGAGGAAAACGATGACAGAGAAAGAAGAAGTCGAAACATTCAATGTTACAATAAGTGGTAGGTGTGTGCAACCGAGAAAATTCTTTTGGGATTTAGATTTTTTTTCAGGGGTGGGTCATCTGTAATTTTGCCTCTAAACTGGGGTTGGGTCATCCCATTTTCAGCATCATTTTACGATTGGGCAAGATAAAAAAAACACTGATTATATTCTGATTCCCCCTCCTATACTTTATGACCAGTAGATTTGAGATTTAATATATTTATTTAATGATTGATGTTATGCAGTATATTTAATTTGGACTAAAGTTAACGTACAACATTGCAAAACTCCAAATAAATCAACAACAACAACACCATCAACAACAACAACAAACATAATAATATGAAGTACATGTACTTCATACTATAATTTGTGAGAACGTTGAATAATTTTATTCCATACCTTGTCTGCAAGACGAGAACGATGATGAAGTCTGCAACTACTAAACTTGCCACAAGAATATTTGCGGGTACCCAGAGCTGTCTGTAAGCAACCACCGTCACAATAAACGTCCTGGCCCGTTTGTTTTCACCAGGTGTCGAGTTGAACATACCATTTGCCTAAAAGGAAAGCAACACGGGGGGGCGTGCGCGTGATCACTGCGAAATCCTGCAATCTGATTGGTTAAAAATTATTTGATGTAATGTATTGACTTACGAAAAAATGTTTAAAATTTACCTTAAACGTCTTCAAGCTTCT